ATTTATTAATCATTTTGCTGCTAGTAGACGAGCGATCTGGCCATTCCAAAACATTTTAATATTTTCAATCACAAATCTGTAAGACCTGTTACAGCAAGTACACAAAAGAAAAGAATACTCAATTTCAATTAGTAGGTCGAGAGTATAACGCACTGCACTAGCAGCGCCTCCTGTCGGCAGCTCTTAATCACTACTGAACAGGCCTGAACTTCACTTTTTCCAAACACACACAATATCATCAACATAAACCAACAGAATGACAAAATCTTAAAATTGATAGACACAATTACACTACACTCAAACTTGGATAAACCCTAGGATTACATAGTGTTCTATCTAACTTCGTAGTACCATAATCGCCCACTCTGATGCAAGACCATACAAGGCCTCTATCTATATACGACACACACAAGTTTCTTTATCTCGCTCTACAAAACCCTGAGGTTGGGACATGTAAATTTCCTCAGATAAAGGAGCATAGAGATAGGCACTTTTTACATCGTCACACTTGTATATTTGCCCATCCAAGGTGTGCAACTAAAAGGGAGAAAAAAGAGCCTTATTACTGAAAAGTTGGACTACAGGAGAGTAGGTTTCATCATAGGTATCGTATTTAATTTGCCGATAACCCTGAGCCACCTAAACGAGCTTTAAAACGAACAATGTTTCCAAATTTCGTCACGTTTAATGTTGAAAATCCACCTGCAACCTAGTGGAACAAGGTCTAAGTTCTTTAGGAAGTGGAACAAGATGCCATACCTTATGCTTTCGCATGTTGGCCATTTCCTCTTCCATTGCCTCTATCCATTTAAGCTTTTCTGTGGATTTCATTGCCTGGTTATAAGTGTTTGGAATTGAAACCTCTAGTCAGCTGTCTCGTTGAAGAGTTGAAGGAGTGCCAGTTGGGATCGATTTCACCACTATAAGTGTTGCTTCCCTTGAAATCAAACAAGGTAGGATCATACTGAATATTATGCTCGGTGCAATACCTTTCTACATCATTTGGCGATTGTAGTCTTTGATTAGACCCCCTCTCAAAATAATACACATCCGTACGAGTGCCGTCTGGCCTTGGAACAGGTTTACGAAGCCAAGTTACTTGTCTCAATGTAGATTGAGTGTCAGTGCCAATTGTAGAAGAAGGGTACATTGGTATCGGTTCTTTCCTCTATTTCAGGAAAATAGCCAACTGGAGTGTCAGTAGATTGGAACTCTCTACCCTTTCTTCAGATTCCAAATCAGGAAGGGTGCCCAGTGCAGCTCCACTGCCACTTTTCTGCATTCCAATCGACTCTTTAAAAGTAGCATTTATGGTTTCTACTACCTTTTGCTCATTTTCCAACCAAATCTTGTACCCTTTTGTTCGTACACTGTACCCAATCATTCGGCCCTTTGTTGCCTTTGGATCAAGTTTAGAATTTCTTTTAGCCTTTGGAATTCCCACATAGGCAATCGTTCCAAATGCCTTAAGATGACGTACTGATGGTACTGATGGTTTCCGCTTAGTGTATAATCGAATGGGGTTCTATCTTGGCCCTTATGACAAATTCTATTAAATGAATATGCAAAATACATTACTGCATCTGACCAAAATTCGGAACTCATTCCACTATCGTGTAAGATTGCACGTACATTATTGAGAGCTGTCTGATTAAATCTCTCACAAACTCCATTCTGTTCTGGAGTATAGACATCTGTAAATTCGTGCTTTACACCATTTTTATTACAATATGACCTGAATTGATCGTTATCATATTCTCGCCCATTGTCAGTCCTAAAGTATTTCAATCTAAGGTTCAAAGATCTTTCCGCACGTGCTATATGCCTTTCAAATACTTCAAACACCTGACTTTTCTCCACAATGGGGTATACTACCACATAACGAGAATATTCGTCAATAAAGGAAACGAAATAACGTTCACCATTCCTACCTGGAATGTTAATAGGTCCCCATACATCAGAGAAAACCCTTTCAAGCGGTCTCTTTACTTGAATACCTTTAAGGGTCTATAGGAGATTCGTCTTTGCTTATTGATTTGGCAATGTTCACAAAACAAATTAGGTGAGTGCTTTAACACAGGAAGACCTCGAACTGAATGTCTCTTACTAGTCCTGACAATAGTATCATAATTTATATGACCAAACCGACCATGCTATAATTCACTATTATTATGCTGAACTGTGGATGCCTCAAATTTTACAGATTTGCCCCCCTTTTTGATTATTTTCGGGAATACATGATAGTTACTTCCTATCAACTTAGCCTTGTACAAAGTTGAATTCTCATCATCAGTAACTTTAATTTGCCCATTTTTACCATAAAATCTTGCTCCATTGATATCCACCCTAGGTCCAGATATTAAATTTCGTCTCAGTTCAGGTGAATATAACACATCTTTAAGCAAAATAAACCGTATCCCCAAATTTCATTTTAACAGTACCTTTCCCATGAATTGGAAAAGTTACCCCATCAATAGCTACTAGCATATGTTCTCATTTTTCACAGGAGAAAAAGTATCAAACAATTCACGATTTTTACAACAAAATGATGAGATGCAGCCGTATCAAAAATCCAACTATCATCATTTTCCTTCCTGTTAAATTGTTAACATTGTTAACATTTTAACATTAGCTTGAGCTATAAAATGGGACTGTGCATGGGAATTTTTTTTTACCTTTACTCAACTTGGGTTTATTCTTACACTTAGAAGATGTTTTATTACTACTAGATACAGCTGAGAAAACAGAAGAAGCAGGTGAGGGTGATCTGGAAAAGTTACCTCTCATTCTACAGTATTTTTGAATATGACCTGGACGGCCACATTTATAACACTTGAGCCCTTTAATCTGCTTAAATTTGGGTTCACAGTGAGTACTTTGAACTTCTATAGTCTTATTGGAGTTTTCCCTATCTATCTCTCTTAAATTAAGACGCGTTTCCTCTGCTAGAATTTCAAGTTCAACATTTTTAAAAATGAACTTTTCATCTGGCCACCTCAAAATATTCTGAACTACTTGATCAAATTTATCTGGAAGGAACCTAAGAAACTGGAAAACATATATATACGTCTCTTACAGCCTGATTAATATCAGCTAACTGTTCAGTTACGCGCGTTTTAATCTAGAAGAAAAGAAACTAATACTTTCATTTGGCTTAATTTTGCAATTTAAGAACTCTGAAAAACAGGGACATATGTCTTGACCGATAATCTGGCTGGAAATATTTGGCAAGCGTATTCCATGCCACTACCGGGTCATCAATTTCACATATCAAATTTCTATATTCAGGGCTTACATTCATATAAATTAACGATAATGCTAATCGACTTCTATTTTGATAGTCGGCAATAATTTCTTTTGTAATACCCTTAACATCATCTAAATCAGGACATTTTTCAATACCTTGGACCAAAAGCCATGCATTTTTTTTTCATTCAAGACAAACTTCATATCTTTGGACCATGTAAAATAATTACATGCATCAAGTTTAGCAATATTATGCATGACACTAACAGTAGCCATATTTGAATTTTAACAAAAACCGCCCCCCAATCTCTTAAGTCCTAAATTAACTTTAAACTTCAAGTCTGCACTAAAAAATAACTCAGGAGCTGGGCCCATAACCAAAATGATGCTAACGCAAGGTTTAAAGTTTAAAGAAATTAAACATTTAGCAGTAGTAGCAATAAAAGCTCCCTGAGATATGTTGTGCAGACATTGAAGACAATAAAAGATTTTGAACTTAACCAATTTATTAACAATATAATAAAGAATAAAAACACAGAAAATAAATGTCAACAATATTAGAGTCTTAGGAAAAATATAATATAAACCATCATTCATCAAACAATATTTTTTACCTGGTCTCCAAAACACTGGCATTCTATACAAACAAAAATGTCCTAAACAGTAATTATGCGGCCTAAAAATAAAGCTGGCTACCCATTCAATAAGTCCATAATCAATGGTCAAGAAAAACACCTGAAAATTTAAATGAAGTTCTTGAAAGCACTTAAAACAGGCCTAAACCCGTTTGTACAAGGAGTCTCCGCTCACGTATTTTTAATTGCCGCCTTTATTGAAGAACATGGATGCCGCCCACGGCAGTCACTCATATGGTAGCCTCTGGAACCAAAGAACTTTAATCTGGAACAATCCATCCCGCAAACCGGAACCAAGGCACTTTATTCACCGGACTGCATGCATCCTTCTGAAGGGGCTGGAAACCGCTCGCTCAAGTGCCGGGAAAGCAGGAACTAGAAGGGTTGAGCCAGAGCGAAGCGAGATACTATAGCAGAAGTAGGAATGACGTCATCTCACGGCAACCAATCAGCTATCGGCACGAATCGGCTTTTCAGATGACGTAACATCATGTTTCGTTTTTGCATCTCAATTAGGTTGAAACAGTCCGTTCTCAATGCAAACAGTGGCAGCAAGAAAAAGAAGTAGAAGTAACTACTATATTACATTAAAATAAGGACTAAACTAAATAAACATTTAAAGGAGGAGAAATGATGCAGTAAAAGGTTTAAAAATAAGCTATATTTTCCAACACTATGCACAAAACTAAGCGTACTTCAAATTCAGCTTATATTACAATAAAGGTAACAAACATAAACATTAACCGCAGTATTTCAATAACATATAACAATAATTATAAATTATTAATTTATTCAATTACATCTGTAATCTACCGACAGATGACATTATAAGAAAACCGCAGTTAGAGAGCGCAAATGGAAAAGCGACAGTCAAGAGAGCGGACCATGAGTTGTGTTTGAACTATGATCCCACACCATATAATTGGAGTGCTTACTTATATAATTAATAAACCAAAAGTAATAATACCTTGTGTCCGTTCTAGTGAGTCAAGCCAGGAAAAATATTTAACACATCATATACATAAATAGTGCAGTATAATTTATATTAGTATAACGTCACTTCAAATCGATATTGATTTGTAAAAAATTATTCGAGAGAAAAATAAAACGGAAACATACTTATTCTCTGCCATTTTGCAACCCAGCTATCTTCGCCTCCCATCAGAGCTATCATTCTGAAAAATAAAAATAATAAAAGACACGTTATAGCAAGAAAATATTTTGTTTAGCAAAGCATACACACAATTTTGGTAAAGTTTACATGCCAGATGACGTTAATTTGGGGAGGGGAAAAAAAAAAAAAAAAAAAAAAAAAGAAATTAGCAAAGAAAATAAGGGCAATGGAAGTGACATTTGCTGTACGCGTTTCAAAGATCTGCTCATAACTTCTTTTTCTGCGGTTATTTAATATAAAACCCAGAATCACAATTCTTAATGGCAATAAGTAAAAGTTGGATCATTAAAGAAAATGAAAAGATTTTAATATATGAGAAAATCTTCATGAATTGTAATTCACCAACTGAAGAAATCTTTTGAACAATTTTGATAGCAAAGAGCTCAAAAGTATGATTTTTCGACTCCAATGGATTTTTTATGAAATTCTCCCAATAGAAATTTCATGTTCTTTGATGCGAAATTGATAGCAATGAGACTACCAATAAATGTCGTCAAGTATTTAATTTTCAAACATTATTACAGAATCTCCTCAAATGTTTTGCTGTGTTTCTGTTTTAATACAGTCAAAAGTCGTTAATCCGGACTCGTCGGGACTTCGGCGATTCCGGATTATCGATTTTTCCGGATTATAGATCATCAGTTTAAATCTCGTAAGATGGCATGCAGAAATTCTAAAATTAAAAACATGAAACCGTAATTTATGAAATAAAGAACAATTATAATATAAAGGGAATCAAAATTTACAAAAAAAAAGCTTAATATTTATTTGTTTACTTTATAAAACATTTCTTCAATGTAAGTTGTTTAAGTTGCTTCGTCTTATGTGATAATACTTTCTCTTTAATTCTACAAACAGACATGATTTCTTGTTCAGTTACAAAGTTCCGCTGTTCAAGTCCCGTTAATTGCTGTGCCGAGAATACCGACTAACTTGTCAATCGAAATTTTTTTGTTTTCACTAACCTCTCTGTCACATTCTTCATGTCTTCATCCATTTTTTGCAGCAATTCCACTTTTTGTTTGATGGACATCGAAACATACTTTCGTTTTGTACGATCCTTTGGGGAGCTCCAGAATCGGAAATTCTATTTGACATAATCGAAAGTTCAAGTTTACTTTTATAAAATTGCTCTTACAGTCTGCAAAAAATAATAAGCCGGATCCAATTCGAAGATTAAGGAACAACGCAATCATCAACGTTAACTGAAATAGATAAATAGATAATTTTAGCTTATACTGTCCGTTATACATAAAACGCGAACGTGAAAACATTTTCTGCACTTGCGCACACGCATATGCGCAGTCGTAAAAGGTCTTACGCGCACGCGTAAACGCCTATGCGCATGTGTCAACGCGGCGCATGCGCAGAAACGTTTTTAGCTTTGAGGTCCGGATTATGGGTGTCCGAATTAACGACTTTTGACTGTATATGATTCTGGGATGTTGTTGTGTGCTGTAGAAGAGGACTGCTGCCCCTGGCTTTTAAGATGCTAGCCTCACAGCATTAAAATCCTCTTTGCAGAAGCTATCTACTACTGCTACACTGCCGCCTCAGGTCGGCTAGCAGAACAGACGGCTGGATCACAAGAAGAGGAAGTGTTACCCGACTAGTTAGGAAGAAAAGGTCACTTTAAGGATGAATGCATATACTGATTACAGACATAGGAGGGCACTAGCGGTCCACTACATTGACTAATGTTCTTTAAGCTTTCGTTTGGACTTTGCTAACACATGCTAAAGAACATTACAGTTAGTTGGCTCCCTATATGAGTGCCTGTTACATTTTGCATGATTTTTCAACAGGCATTATAGAGTAATTTAACTAAGTTTCGGAAACCTTAATTTCTACTTGCGCTAATTTAGCACTTCGTGCATTTTGCTTAGGCCTTGCTATGAGACCGATTTACAGTTGAAATCTGACCTAAATACAAAACCTTTCATATGCGCTAATACCTTACGCATACATTAGTAAATTTTATATACATTATACATATTTCATATACATAGTGCACACTGATACTGAGACCAAGATGGTTTACAGTGAATTTACAATGCTCGTATTTTAAGTTGTAGTTACAATCTGACCTAATTACAAAAACTTTCACATACACTAATACCTTATGCCTACAGTAATATATTTCCCCTACGTTACTATATTATACATATTTCACATACATTATGTATACTGATACATTGTTGTGGAAACCTTACTGTTACATTCATAATGAGAAAGATAATGGTGTATATGCGATTGATTTACAGTGAATTTATGATGGGACTTGTGTAAATTGGAGAGTTACAATCTGACTTAAACACAAAACCTTTCACATAATACATTATGCAAACTGATAATTTGCTGTGGCAATATTACAGTTACACTGACAGGTGGATATGAGCAAATACTTGACATTATTATATTAATTTTCTGATTCTACGTATCACCATCTTACTAGTGGCCAAACAAGGTACAATTAAATCCTCAAAAACCACTCGCAAATTTTTAAAAAATAGTTTTCTTCTTATTTAGTCCTCCTTCGATATAAAATATTTTCAGCATTTTATAACACAACATATTTTATTTATGGGGTAGTTACGCCTTATTTAAACTCCTTTAAATTTGATATTTTTAATTAAAAAAAGATTGTAATGTAATATGTGGCAATGATAACTTTAATTAGCTTCCGTAACATATTTTAATTTACATAAATTATATATATTATTAATAAAAAATAAACAAAGATTCAAATTATTAATAAATGAGCTTATGGTTAGTTTATTACTCAGCAGCAGCTTGATTTAATTCGAATGATAAATTTAACATTTAATGTTTTGGAAAATAGCAACATTGAGCACAGGTGACGAGCGTGGCACGTGAATGATAAATTAAAACACCATATTCGTGCAGCGACAATATTCTGAAAATGCTGAGTGAGCAGGGTGGAAGATAAATACTTATGTTTCGCATAGTGAGAATGCTTTCGAATTATAACGAAAATACAGGGTGGTCACAAAAAAACTTCCCCGATATATGAGCCCCTAGCAACCTATATTGTTATTTGAAGATATGCACTCGAGAGGATTTTAAAACTGTAGTGGCTTCACGGTTAAAGTGAAACAATTTTGAAATTTTCAACTTTAAGCATTTTTTTTTTTTCCCCCTCTCAGCGCAAACTGATCAGCGCATTGAAAAACCATAAATGGCGTTGGTACGATGGTACGATTTCATGTATGACGAAAATTGCCTGCGTAAATCATTTGCAAAGAAGAGCATTGTACGAGGACCAATGATAACACAAAAGAGAAGACAGGATAAAACTTTTTTTTTTTTGGAGTTTTCAATGTGAGTATTTAGCTTTTAACATGGTCACTTTCGCAGATGATAATGGAATACATGTGAAAGATACCATGATAATGGGCGTAACACCGCAGAAAGAAAATGTATAACTTCTAGCCCTGTGAATTATTGAATGAATATGAATTGAATTATATGAATACACATATATTTGCTTAATAAAGTTACACGCATTTACTTCGAAATTAATTCTTGTAAATGCATTCTGCTTTAATGTTTATTTTACTTACAAAAAATGTAATATTTAATAGAGGTAAGCGGCCATGATTTAGCTCCCAGAATTCAGAGGTGTGGTTTACAGGGTGCTGACTATATGTGGTCGGTACATTATTCCAAGGATTGAACTTCTTTACTTAAAGAATGGCGCTACAAGATTGTGTTCCTTATTGACGCTTCAAGACACATCTTCACACGATGAGTTAGCCTAACCATGGCCTAACTGACTCTTTTGGTGCATCAGCGCCACCTATAGTAGCTCATACTTTATAACATACTGGCCTGCGATGAACAAATCTTCATCACAAGCTTCAAATTTAGAATTATTTTAATGCAATATTTGATACTAACAAGATTTTCAACTAATATTATATGACAAGTAATTCGCCCATTTTGTGGGAATGAGAAAATTTTCTGAAACTTTTTTCATTTGAGAAAATAACGACAATTTCAATATGACATAACGTTCTCGAAGAAAGGGAAGAAAAAAAAAAAAAAAAAAAAAAAAAAAAAAAAAAAAAACATTTAATCAACTACATTTTCAACAGTTGATACCATTGAAGAATGTGGGTTTATACTGTGGCCTTCGAAACACAGGTATCATATTAAAAATGGATAATGATTTTGCATATTCTATAACATAAACGTTTTTTGGTGTACATTCGCCATTTTAAAAATGGAACCCATATCTGCTATATGACGTGTTAAAAAAAATTTTGCCCAGACGAATTTCAAAATTTAAGTTATTACGTTTCGTTATACGATTTCAAAAATCCGGTCAGATGATTTATAATTATCCTGTATACTACTATGTATATTAAAAATATTGCGGGTATAAATATGCATATCACGATATAATCTAAATGAGATAAAATAAGCGTACTATGAACTTCTGAATAATTTTATTCGCGTCTGTACTCAGTGCAGAGAGACGCTGCCAGGTCTGGCGAAAACTGAACTTTGTACTTACAGAAATTTCAAATTCAGTAAAATAAAACCAAGTGAGCACAAGTTATTCAAATTCTCCATTTCTAAACTTCAGCCGCGTGCTTTAAAAAGAAAAGAGGGGGGAGGGGAAGAAAAAGAAAAAAAAAAAAAAAGAAGAAGAAGAAGAAAGAGAGAGAGAGGAAGGGAAAAAATCAAGGTCGATTAAAAGGAACGTCTATATATAGAATCAAGGTTTTCCCTAACATATTCGTTTATCTCTACTTATAATTTAACTTTTAATGGTTTTTTGACAGAAACGTTAATATTTTAAGCTCACTATTTAAAATTTTAAAAAAGATACACTTTTATTCATCCAATTAGTTAACCAAATTAAAATATTGTTTAAAAAACGTTGAAAATTTCTGAGATAGCCACAGTAAATAAATGGTCATCATATGTAATTACTTTTATTAACACTTATGAACCAATTTTTAAGAACGCAAA